AGCTCAGAGCCGGTCTTCCTCAGCAAAAAGAGGAGGATTAGCATGGATGTTAGCTCAGGGCTGATCTTCCTCACCAAAAAAAAAAAAAAAAAAAGTCAGATGAAAGCGTAGACTCTTGTGAAGGTGTGTCCACATGCGGCACTGAGAAGAACACTTGGCGCACACATGCGCCGCACACATGCGCCGCACGCAGGGCACTCCTGGAGTCAGCGTGGGGCCAAGGTGGGGAATTTTTGAAGTACGACCTGTTTAAAAGATGTTTGTAATCTGTAATTAATACTTTTTATTTGCAAACTGTGTACAGTGCTCAAAAGCCTTCTGGCACATTGAACATGTTCACTATTATTATAAGAGGAGCAGAAGTTCATCAGATAGAGTGCAGAGGTAAATCCATGTTCCATTTTTGCCCACCTGTCTCTTTAGGCTAATCGAGTTTTACTTCATGGCCTGGTGGGAACTCTGTTTTTCCCTGGTGTGCCAGGACAGGAGGCTCCCCAGGGCACCAGGCTGGAGCCGCTGGCATGCACGCCCGGGCTCGCCTGCCCTCCTCCGCCCTCTCCAGGGAGCGAGCAGCCCATTGAGTTTCCAAAGGAAAGCTCTGCCTGAAGTGTACCCAGCAGCAAGCAGCCATTGTTGCCCTGGATTAGCATTCCCCAAGCAGACAGCCGCTTCTGCAAAATGCTGTTGCACTCTGAAACAGTTGGGTGTTGATCATAGGTCCTTCCAAATAGCGTGAGACTCTGATTCCAGACATAATACCTTTTCCAGAGACATCGAATAGCTCAATCAGTTCTGTTATACAGCTCACAAATTAACATATTTCTCCTAATAAAATTCTTTTTGACAATTGACCAGAAATAGTGAATTTGTGAAGTGATTTGCATCTGCTATATTTTTAACAGTAGTTCCAACACACAGAGTATAGTTAGTACTCAATAAATGTCTATAATGATTGTGAGCAAAAACTAGGAGGAAAATCATTGAACAATGCATTTTTTAAATAATTTATTTTATTTTATTTTATTTTTTTTGTGAGGAAGATTAGCCCTGAGCTAACATCCGATGCCAATCCTCCTCTCTTTTTTGCTGAGGAAGATTGGCCCTGGGCTAACATCCGTGCCCAACTTCCTCTACTTTAGATGGGATGCCACCACAGCATGGCTTGACAAGCGGTGCGTCGGTGCACACCCGGGATCCGAACCTGGGAGCTCCGGGCCGCCGAAGCGGAGCGCTCGCACTTAACCACTACGCCACTGGGCCGGCCCCTAAATAATTCCTTATAAAGACAATTGTATTGTGAATTTTTGTCAGACTTCAAAACTAGGAGCTTTCTTTCTTACAAATTTTAAAGTTTTATAAAGTGTAATATCATAAAAGATTATGCCCAAAGCATCAAAACAGGTTCTAAATAGATGTTGTTCAAAGACCCACCTTGTTTTTAACCACGGTAATCGTTAAAAGGCTGGCCTGCTAAACAGTGAGTTGATGTGATCTGTGGAGCTGGAAATGACTAGTGAATGGAAACCACCAGCCAGTCTGAAAGAACCAACATCTGTGGTGATTTTCACAGCAGTCCTGATGCTAGGGGCTGGGGTGGTGGTTCTAGAAGTTTCTGTAACAAGGCTCAACAGCTGCTTTAAAGTAATAGGTTGCAAGTGTACATTTACTTGTGCAAATATGTATATGTACTTATATGTAGGTGCCTGTTTTGCATTGTTGTACTATTTTAGACTTAAAATAGCTAAAGTCTAGGAGTATTATTAATCTGCATTGAGTCAAATCTGGTATTTTGGATGGACAGTCTTTACTGGTACGATTGTGATGCAAGAACATGGTAAAGAAAGATGGGTTGCCCGGTGGAAACTTGCTGCCTCTCTGACTTCAGCAAGGAACATAACCTCCAGCACCCACAAATCTGGAAACCACGCCAGGCTGCACAGATGCTCCCTAGGTGGGGTCCTAGCTAAGGCCACGCTGCCACGCACTCGCTGTGGGGCCCCCACTTTTCAGGTGGTTTCGTGGATTTAATAATCAAGTCTTCACAGCAGCCCCAGGGGTGGGAGTTGTTGTGCCTCTGAGGCACTGAGGGGTTGGTAACCGGCCCCAGGTCACACGCACAGAGAGGAGTGTGGGCCCGAGCCCAGGTTCCCCCGCAGCCCCGTGTGGCGTTAGCTAATAACATCGGCTTATCTCATGTCTCTCTTTTTGATATATGTTAGCACAATTGAAGACACTGTGTACACACACATAATGTATATATGTTTGTGTATAAATAAATACGAATGGTCAGTTAATTTGAGAAAGAAATGGATTGTGTGTTTATGTATATGTCGCCAACTGTTTCAGAACTGGCCACTTCTGCACTAAAACCTATATATGAATTCATATGCTCGGTGTTTCCCCATTGGTCTTTTTCTCTCTAAACTCTCCTAACTGCTTATTTTTTTAAAGGAATTGACTCTTACTGAAATGGTGGTTAATCAGCAAGAGTGGGTTACAAGTTAAAGTTGTGATTCTTAAAGATATAAAATGAGACCTATTTCTCTAATGATAAAAAATTCATGTACTAATTTACTGCATCAGTGTTCCTTCTACAAGGAAAAAAATACCATCTTATTTGGTTGCTTTGCAATGAGGACACCTTCACGAGAAAACAGACCTCTTAATTCACAGAAGTTGGGGCCGTGGGCGTCACACTGTGTCATTTCTTCTATAGGTGGTAATGGCACTCCTCAAATACTGGCCAAAGACCCACAGTCCAAAAGAAGTCATGTTCTTAAATGAATTAGAGGAGATTCTCGATGTGATTGAGCCATCAGAATTTGTGAAGATCATGGAGCCTCTCTTCCGGCAGTTGGCCAAATGTGTCTCCAGCCCGCACTTCCAGGTATGGGGGCCGCGGGGAGAGGAGCCACTTCAGAGTCCATTCTGGAGGTGATAGGTCTCAGTGTGTAGCTGGGCATGTTTTGCTTCTCATGTACTTTGAAGGTAACCTTCAAGTTTTTACTTTAATTATACTTCAAAATAAGATGCTAAGATACTTTAGCATCTTGTCTCCATTACTGAAAACATGTTTCTTAATGAGAGTAATTAAATATGGCTTCTCTGTAAAACTGTCTTTGTCTTTATGTTCAGAGTGTTCCCAAATGCATAAAACCTTATTTTTCACAACTGAGTAATCAATATTTATAGATAATATGATGGTAAAACCATTTAGCTCTGAAATTCTCTCCCTCCGTAAGCTTTTCATTTCTTTTTTTTTTTTTTTAATGTTTTTTTCCTTTTTTTTTCTTTTTTTCTTTTTTTTTGTGAGGAACATCAGCCCTGAGCTAACATCCATGCCAGTCCTCCTCTTTTTGCTGAGGAAGACTGGCCCTGGGCTAACATCTGTGCCCATCTTCCTCCACTTTATATGGGACGCCCCCACAGCATGGCTTGGCAAGCGGTGTTTCGGTGCGTACCCGGGATCCGAACCGGGGCTGCCAGCAGCGGAGCGAGCGCACTTAACTGCTACGCCACGGGGCCTGCTCCCAGCTTTTTATTTCTGACACATGTAAATTCATCTCCATTTACCCTTTACAAAAAATTATAGCTCTTCCTGTGCAAGAGGGTGCCTCAGTCAAGTCACTTTCTACTTTCTTTTCCTGATTTCCTTCTTAAACCCTTCAGGCTCTTTCAAAGGTTGCCCCCAGTGGCTTTTTCAGCCTGTCGCCTGCCTCCATTTGATATACTGAGGACCCCATCCTTTTGTATCATTGAGCAGATATTTACTGTGAGCTCAACATGAACAAGGCAAAAATCACAAAACCTCACGGTCTCCAGGGAGTTGGTGACCCTGCAGAATGAGGGAAGATGAGTCAGCATAGCCCCACGTGACATGTGGATATGTTGCCGACAGTTACAACTGGCCAGCGCAGTCCGGCCCTGAGCCACTTCAGTGGCCTCGGCACCTCCAGTTCCCCTGTGCTCATTTGCTCACCCTGTTGCCCTCCCTGTTGGTCCTGTCATCTCACACCCTCTCCTTCCTCTGGCCCCTCCTCAGGAACGTGCTCCATGACCACCCGATTTCAAATGGAAGCCACATTTCCACACACACACCCAGCACTTCCTATCCTCCTCCCCTCGCCACATCACTTACCACTTGTGACAAATAAGGTAATTTACCCATCACTTGTCTCCTCCTCACTAGAGTATAAGTTTCGCAAGGCCTCGCCTTGTTCCCTGCTGGATTCTCGGTGCCAAATGGCACTGCAGTGTAACAGCTCACAGACACGTGTCAGATGGATGGATGGGTGGATGGAAGGAACTCGTCTGACCATGTCCTCATTGTGTCGCATAAATGTTTATTGAATACATGGAGAAATGAATGATGGTGTTCTTGATGTACAAGAAATTGTCTCCCTCTTTGTTGAAGACTCTTCAGCGTTACGGTCTAGAGCATTCTGAATTTGTAGAAATAATTTCTAATCCAACATAATTTATTATCCTATTCACAGGTGTAATAGGAAAGACATTTGAGTGTTTCTAATCATACAAACAACAGTTGTGCCCTCCTGTTTTGCAGGTGGCGGAACGAGCACTGTATTACTGGAATAACGAGTACATTATGAGTTTAATCAGTGACAATGCAGCCAAGATTCTGCCCATCATGTTTCCATCCTTGTACCGCAACTCGAAGACCCACTGGAACAAGTAAGAACTGGCCATCGTCGGATCTCGGCATTTTTACATTTTGCGTAATTTGCTGATACTTCAAACCAATTAGAGTTGAAATCCAATTCTGAAATATCAGTTAAAAACTGAGATGTTGATTTCTTTGTGGACTTATAATTAAGTAGAAGTGTAGGTTTTCCTGTGGCCTTGTCTTTGCCTGCTGACCCCCATTTCAAGCCCACATAGAGGCATGTTTATGTGTTCGCACCCCCGTCCCTGGTGGTGTCAGTAGCAGCATCTTCCAGGCCTCTTGTTGAGTTCCCTCCAGAGGAGTTGAGGGTCGGAAACTCCTGCAAAGCTTGTGGGCCTCAGTCCCTGCAGGAGCGCAGTGCCCGCTCTGTTCTTGGGGGCCCTGGAGCCCTGCTGTCACACACCCTGGTGAGCCCCTCTGTGAGACCACAAACCACCTAGCTGTGCTTACCACCTGGAGAGCCAGAGAGAAGAACAGGTGGTCTAAACACAGCCTAAGAGATCTCAGACTGCGCTGCATCTTCCTGCCCCTCTCCCTTCACTTAATGAAGACAGACAGACTGATTTACTCAGCAGTGGTCTTCTGAGACCTTAAAGGGGAACAGTCGGTGTGGGCACCATATCCCTGTGGGATGCTGAACTGGTACTCGTTATTTACATAAATACGATATCAGAGCTTTGCTTTCTTCATCTTTTATTTTTTTCTGTCTATATTGTAATCATTAAATCAGAATTTAAAGCAGGAAGAGCAGAGCTACGATATGTAGTCCTACCCTCTTGTTTACAGGCCAGGAAGGCAAGACTCAGGGAAGCGGCAGCCAGACCTGCAGTCTCGAGCTGGGTAGCGGCTCTGGCCCGCAGTGTCTGCTGCGCACCTCTCCTGCTGTCCTGGGTCACAGTCATGCTCCGCTGCCAACCAGATCTCTCAGCCGCAGTTTCCTCATCTGAGAAACAGAAAATGTTGGCACCCACCTTAGTGTTTTGTGATGCTTGATCAAGAACATTAATGTTTGTATACGTAAAGCACTTTGCAGCAACCTTCACCTTGCTGTGAAAATTAATTAGGATAAAGTTATATACATAAAGTCCCTGGCACCTGACAGACCTTCAGGGAACGTTTGCCGTCGGTCCTGCGGCTGTGGGACTGGCAGTGGTGCTGACGGCAGTAGAAGAAAAAGCAGCCGCCGTGTCCTTGTAGCAATGGTCTAGTCGCCATTGTTAGTATGTCGACGTTCTACACCCTTTTCCTTGTAACATTCATTTTTTTATTGAGCTCAGCAGGTGATAACAAAGGCCCCAGAGTTCACCCATCGTGCCTGTGTGTAATTTAGTGTCATGTGCAAGTCAGCAGTGATTTCTGACTGACTTCAAGTTCCTGCCCACTGCAAAGGGCAGAAATATCCTTCTAAGTGTTTTTTACATATGATTTGGTTTTTAATATATAGTGAATTTAAAAACTAGCTATGATTTGAGAGTTAAGTGTTTTGTTGTTGCTCACAGTTCTGTGGGTTGGCCAGGCTCTACTGGGCAGTTTCTGTGCCACTCTCACCGGAGATCTCTTGCGTGGCTGCGTTCAGGTGGCAACTGGTCTAGAGTCATCTCAAGGCTCCGCTGGGATGCAGCAGCTGGGCCTCCTCCCCCTCATGTTTGTCAGAGCCTGGGAGCTAAGTTTGGTTAAACTGTTCTCTGATAATTTTATTTTCTACCTTCCAAAGCTCTGCCTTGGCATTATTAAAATTACGTTTTCTGTCCTCAGTGAATAAGATCAAAAGGAAACTGATGTTTATAGGAAATAAAATGTTTCCATTATTTTCCTCCCTATAATGAAATTTGTCTTAATTGTTTGTTCAAGTTTCAACTTTTGTGTGTGTGTGTGTGTGTATGTGAGGAAGATCAGCCCTGAGCTAACATCTGCCAATCCTCCTCTTTTTGCTGAGGAAGACTGGCCCTGAGCTAACATCCGTGCCCATCGTCCTTTATGTGGGACGCTGCCACAGCATGGCCTGACAAGTGGTGCGTCGGTGTGCGCCTGGGACCCAAACCCAGGCCGCCAGCAGCGGAGCGCGCGCACCTAACCACTACACCGCAGGGCCAGCCCCTTCAACATTTTTTATTCAGTTTCCAAGTAAGGTGGCTTTTGGCTACTGTTAGCCAGGATAGTGAGCTGAAGGGTCTGGGTCCTTCATTGAGAGTGATTGTGAAGGAGGAATCCACAGACTGTGTGGCTGCTCTAAGAAAACGAAACGAATGAATCAAAAGAAACAGGGCTTTTAATTTTAAAGCTTAAGAGACTTGTGAAATGTGGGACTGTTGAAATAGCTGATAAGTTTGGAAAGGAAATAGACTGTGGCCGACAAGGGGAGGGAGATGGATAAAAAAGATGAAGTATTCTGAGTTTGAACATGACATTTTATTATAGGACAATACATGGCTTGATATACAATGCGCTGAAACTCTTCATGGAGATGAACCAAAAGCTATTTGATGACTGCACCCAACAGTTTAAAGCAGAGAAGCTGAAGTAAGTTGCTCCTTTAAAAGTTATTCCAAGGATTTTTTTCTTGATCGCAAATAAACCTCTCCCATTGGTTTGTCCTGAAAGTTAGTCTTCACTTGAAAGCAAAATCAATCGCTTCATCCTTGGAAAGCAAATAAAACTGTGTTATGATAACTTATTCTCAAAGAACACATGTTCACAGTTAGCTATTCACTGTTACGCTTTTAGTTTAATCATCTTTGCAAAAAGTGCATATAGCCAAGAATTTAACTTTCAGAATTTTTGCTTTTCTCAGGGGACACTTAAAGGCTGTAATGTATAGTAATTTTTCATGTTTATAAGGCAGGAATTTGAATTATATCCTGTAAGGTTTATATGAGAGAGCCAGAATCTTCATCTCAACACAGCTTTATGTTGTGATTTGATGATCTCCATAAAGGCGGGCATTCTCTGGAATCTAGCACCTGCCTCCTTCTCAAAATCAGGGCCCTGCCCCCATGCTTTGAGGACTTCAGAGCACACATCTGTACAGGGACAGGCTAAGTGACAAGGCCCTCTGTCCCTAGGCTGTGCTAATAATAACCTGACTAATTAGTTATCAAAATCACATCTTCAGAGCCAAGTATGGACTGTGGCCAGATTTTATTCTTTGCTTGTCACTTGAAGCTGGCTAAGGTAGATAAACTTTGGGCGAATATAATTCAGATTACAGTATATATATATAAAACCAACTGTTATTCTTTAGAAAAATGTAAGTGTCCACATATGCTAGACCTGTTTTAGGTTCTGGAAACACAGCAGTGAATAAAACAAACTCTTGAATCCTTGCCCTTATGGGGTTTGTATTCTGGGTAGTGGGGAAAGAGAGAGACAGTGACATACAAATGAGTGAGGTATAGTGTGTGAGGGACGATGAGAAATAAGGCAGGGAAGAGGCATAGGGAGACATGCCAATGGTTTCTTTAAACTGAACCTTCGAGCCACCTGGTCCATTCTTACCTCAGCTGACCCTACTGCTCAGATATGAGATATGTGAATGTCAAGGCTTTTCTGATGGCCAGTTCTCTTTCATAGAATATCATGACAGGGACCGTAAAGAGCATGTAGCACACTTTTTGGATTTGAAAAAAAAAGTTGGGTCCAGGTTAAGTGAGTTACTGATAGTCATGTGATTCATTAGCCGTGGAATCCCACAAGAACCCAGATCTCCTCAGGCTCTCAAAACTGTTCCTTTTTAATGTCAGTGTTGGGGCACTGGCTCTTTTCACCACAGTTCCTTTAAGCTGTGGTATAGTCTGACTTTTCGTGGATTTGTAAGCTTCTCATCAGAATAATATAGGTCTTGTGCAGAAGCAACCAAGCAGGGTAATGATAGAGACATAAAATGTACTTGTTTAAGTGTTTTTAAGAACTTAAATTCTTAGACATGTTAAAAGTGTAGCATATTTATTTTTTTTAATCTTTTCCTCCACATCTTGGTTGTTTTTTTCATTTCGTTTTTCATGTTACGTTTGTTGTGAGCCCCACTGTGAAGGATGTGGAATAAGACCAGAAAGTGACAGAGGAAAAATAGGCAGTCGTGTTGCAGCCACGTCAGTGTCCCCTTAATGTTTTCTTGAATTTGATTCGTCTCTCTAATACCAACGACATTTTACTGTTTTTCAGAGAGAAGCTAAAAATGAAGGAACGAGAAGAAGCATGGGTTAAAATAGAAAATCTAGCCAAAGCAAACCCCCAGGTACTAAAAAAGAGAGTAACATGAAAACATCTAGGGTTTTACTTGAATGTTTTTGTAAGATAGGAATGTGGCTTCATCGTGGGGGGGGAGGGAAATCGATTTCACTAACATTGTGTATGAAAATGTCTGCAATAAAAATACTTTTCAACTTTTGTAGAAGTACTTATTTTGCCCCACAAAGTTTTTACCACAGAATTGACATTTTTTTCCTCTGCTTTTTAAATAAGATGTGAATCTTATGTGAATATACTGTGGTAAAAAAAAACGCCAGGATACAACCTGTTTTGGGCCAAGATTGTAATTTGCTTTTTCTCTTAAATGTCATAGATGCTGTTAGCTCAAATGATATTTCCCTTTCGTTCCAATATCAAATTAATTCTAAAAGAAAAGAAGTTAGATGTGAAATAGATTAAGTGTGGAGTTGATGTCCTCTTTTCTAAAGTTAGGTTTCTGTAGGCTCAGCCTTAATCGTTAAAAATTGACTGACTTCTGCCACATTAGCAACTAACCCTTTCTCCTGCCCTAGCCAGGAGGCGCCAGTGTGCCTGGCAGGTGGGCACCGATGGTGTGTCTTCCGGAGCTGCCCGCAGTTGAAGCAGTGTCCTCCGTAGCGCTAACCTTGGGTTGACTCCCAGGGCGGCCGGGGTCTGGGGTTTTGAGTGGTGGTCTTTTGGTGTTCTGTCCGCTGGTCCAAATGATTGGAACACTGTCCTTGCAGACCTTCTGACTGTGTGTGTGCCTGTCTGAGCTGCAGTGCCACTGACCGAAAATTGTGTGTGTGTCTTTGCCACACTGAGTTCTCAGGCTTTCCCCAGCTCCCCAGAAAAGATTTTACTTCATGAGGAGAACTGCTCAGCTACCCCTAAAATCCTGAAAGTTTCAGTAAGGTGAACTAGATTATAAGCAATCTTTTTCCTTTGGTGAGAGGTGTGCATAGATAATTATCTAAGTTCATACGTAGGTTTTTTAATCTCTCTGACATTTAATAAAAAGTGATACATGAATACAAAGTTAGAAGTGTACATTTTACCTACATAATAGCATATTGATTTGTATTCCCTTGTGATAAAACTACAATCAAGAGACTTAAACTGTAGGAAAATTGAATGATATTCTTAAGTGTATGTCCTCGATTCCACCTAAAACAAGTAACCAGAGTTTTTCTAACAATATTTATCCATGTTCTTACATAGAAATGCTATTTTAAGATTACTGTGAAACACTGTAGTGCTTCCTTTAGGGGGATAATCTATGGGTATCTACTTTAAAGAATAGAATTTATTTTGAAAGTAAGGTTAAGATACTGGCGTTCATTGGAGAGCACAGTAACACCCTCAGTCTGGGGCAGGTTTAGGTGGTGGGCCCTGCTCTGCTCTGCCAGCCCCACGCAAAGGGCAGTCAGACAGTGGTCCCAGTTAGGATTGTCAAGGATCTGTCACACACACCCGACATCAACACCCTTGAAAAACATAGAAAATATGTACAACTCAGGGGGTCAGATTTTATTTATTTTACCTAGAATATAGAAGTAACCTCATGAAAAATTGCATAAAGCTTTTGCATTACAAATGGAGACGAGCTGGCTGATTGTGTTAACACAGTGGCCTGGTTACCCTGCCGTGCTGTTCTGAAATATGTGGTGTTCTCATTTCCCTTTCTCTGAGCTTTTCCTGAGTTTTCTTACACTGTGTTTTTACTCCTGTGGCTGCTCTCTCTGTGTCTCGGTAACAGTGTGAACGGGGTGGGTTTGCCTGTGCTTGCCTGAGTTGTGCTGGCAAAACCTCTCACGCCTTGGATCTGAGCGCTGTGCTGGCTCCTCATCTCTGTGTGGAAACCATCTGTGAGTCAGCCCTGGCCAGTCCTGTCTGCGTGCTCGGTCCGTGGCGTGGTGTCTCTGAGATGGAAGACACTCCATGGGCTCGTGTCTCAGGCTGGAGAGTAGGACCTCAGTGCTTGCTTTTTATTCTCTCGAGAGCAAACCTTCCAAGTTCTAATCGCTGCTTGCCATTTACAACAGCAGCAAAAAGTAAACAGTCTCGGGAATAAGACGGTTTATTTATTTCTCTGAGGAAAATAGTTGGGTTTTTGAAGCTCAGTTCTCCATCTCAAATCTGCCTTTTTGAGAACTGATTCAATAGCTTCCTTTTTTAAGGTGAATTACCGATAATTCACTGTCTGTTCACTGACGTGCACCTAGAAGTGTTCCTGATGCTTACCCTTGCTTTTCACAAACTAGGCACTCCATCCACTCAAGGACCTGACCGCACGTCCCCGGTGAGGCCTGCTAGGGTTTGGGAAGGCTGATGCCTTCAGAATTGTCAGTTGTGTTTGATTTAGCAGCTGTGGCAGCTTCATTGGGATTTTGTTTCATGTCATATGTGATTTAATTTTTTTAAATCATGAAATATTGAAGATTGCTAACATAAATGTGTTTTTCCTAATCCACCAAAAGAGGCCCTATAACATTTTACTCCTTACTCCTCCCTGGCGTTCTTGGGCATCGTGTGAAATGAAGACAAGCACCCCAGTGCGTGTTAGGTGTGGCTCTGGCTCGGTGTTTCCGACCCTCTGCTATGACCCAGCCAGTGCCGGGGGCTGCCCAGGGCCCGGGGTCTGGCTGGGTGCTTTGCCTTTGAGAGATGAGCTTCTGTGGGGAAAACGTTCCTTCCTTCCGCCTAGTATGAACTCCAGCCTCGACAGAGGTTTTTATCCCCCGTAAGAATCCTCTCCTGCCAGTGCCTGCTACGTGGCGGTGGTTTTGCCGTGAACATGGTGTAGCATCTTCATTCACTCTCTTCTCTGCCCTGAGCCCCAGCGAGGAGTCAGAGCCCCACACTGCTCTAAGCACGAGCCGTTGCGGCTTTGTGGAAAGCACTCTGTTTTCCTCTCGGAGGAGCCAGAAGCTGAAGTGTTGGTTAAGTAACAACCCTGCAGCACCCCATGCGTGTCGCAGTTATCTGTGCTTCCATCTGTCCCTCCCGGCCCATGAGCCCCTGGAGGACGAGGCGCTGTGCCATCTCCCCATCTCCCTGCTCCCAGCAGGCAGATGCTTCACTCCGCAGATGGATGCCAGCTGTGTGTCCCGAATCATGGAACTTTCCTGGGATACAAAGATGAGAACAAGACACAGCCCCCAGCTTCAAGGAGCTTCCAATCCGTGAAGGGAGCCATATGGAAGCAAAGAATTCAGTTCAGATGGTCAGATGGTGACACACACTTGAGTGAGATGCGAGAGATGCTGGCGAGAGGCCTGGCTCATGCCTTTAAAGAGAGACACACTGTGGATCTGGGGTAGCCACAGTAGAGAGGGCACCGTGGACCTCAGCCTAGCAAGAGGGCTGGGCCCGTGGAGGCGGGGCTACCTCTTAGAGTCTCTACTGAGGGGGCCTTCACCAGTCTGACTTCAGGGGAGGGGCTCAAGGTGGAGAGAGAAGAGTGGGGCGCAGGTGGAATATCAGCTCTGGAGGAAGGGCTGGCTGTGGTCTGCATCAGGGACAGAGCTGGAGAGGGAGCAGAAGTGTGGATTTTATCCCCAAAAATGTGTGCAGGTGTCAAAGTGTCATAAAGAGCGGAGGGCCTAGTCAGACTTAGGTTTCACAAGCGCTCTCTGGCAGCAACATGGCCGGTGTACTGGAAGGGGCCTAGCTCTTATGGAAATGTGTGGATGGTGGCGGTGGGTTGGGGTGGTGGGATCGGCAGGCAGCGGGCACTAAGGGGACCTGGGTGCCTGTTGGTGTTGAAAGGAGGAAATGGAGCCAAGGATGCGGCTCTGGCGAGTGAGCAGCCGGTTTGCGAGGATGGTGTCTGAGGGGTGTGGACGGCCCAGAGCTGAAGACAGAGGCCGGGCGAGGAGGCGTGGAAGCCGTGGTGAACAAGGAGCCGTCGAGGGCACAGGCTGGTGGGATCCCACAGGAGGTGTGAGGGAGGACAGAGACTGTTGTCCGAGGGATGGGCAGAGGGAAGAGGAACCAGGAGAGGGCGGTGTTGCAGAGGCCAGGGAGGGTGCAGTTTCAGGGGTGATCGTGTTCAATCCGTCATGCTATGGAGCAGTCCAGGAGAATAAAAACCAAAAAACGGTTAGCAACCAAGAGGTTCCACGGGAGAAGTGAGAGCCGAGCGCAGGTGGTGATGCGCTGAGGGGTGGGGAGGAGAAGGGGGCGCTGAGAGTTGAGCCGCTCTTTCCGGAAGCTCGCCTGGCTGGGAGGGCGGTGGTGAGTGAGGCGGGAGGGCAGGGTCCCCAACCCAGCAGAGGGGTTCGCTGCCGCAGGAGAGCCCACTGAGGCAGAAGGGAGGACGCAAGTGGAGGTGGATGGGTCGGTTGGCAGAGTGGAGATGTGAGGCGAGACTGCAGGGTTAGTCCCAGCTCCCCTTCCTGGCCCTGGGGCCTCAGGCGGTTCTCAACCTCTCCCCCATCCCCCCCATTCCCCCATCCATTGAATGGGATCCTGGGGCGCACTTCACAGGTTTGTCACAAGGTGTGAAGTATGTGGAACAGCACCCGGCTCCCAGCAGAGACACACAGACATTTCTCCCTTCCCCCTGTCCTCACCCCCACAGAGAACGTGGACACCAAACACTAACAGCAGTCAGACTGTTCCTGCACCTTGGCTCATTTAACCATCACCACACCCTCTGAAGTGACCCTGTCCCCGTGTCACACTCACAGACACAGAAAGGGAGAGGCCAGTGACTGGAAACACATTTGCAGCTCACGCCAGAGCCTGACTTGCGCACAGAGAAGGGAGTCCCAGGGCCGCCCCATAGGGAACGGGAGAGGGAGCCCAAGCCCATGAGAGGCATGTGGGGGGGGCCAGGGGGACCCCGCTGACACAGCAGATCCTGGACTTGCTGGCATACCAGTCCTTCCCAGCAGTGCCAGCCACGAGGTTGCAGAGAGAAAATGTGAGCTGTTGGACGAATCCAGGCTGTGTAGTTTGAGTAGAGAGCAAAGTCGCTGAGGGTGTGGATAAAAGGATATAACCAATAATGGGGTTTTAAGTAAGTGAGGAAAATTCTAAGAAAATGAGATAAAGGAGCAAGTGGTCCTGGCCGCCGCTGCTGCCAGGAAGTGTGCGAGGACTGGGAAGAGCCGCAGGCAAGCAGGCTGCAGAGGGGGAGGTTAGAGGTGGCAGGCTCAGCGGCAGACAGTTCCAGTGACCAGATCCAGGCATGCCCATGGCGTTGCTCATGTGGAGTCACAACGCCAAAGGATACAGGCATGTCGCCCAGCGGGCCATCAGGCCCCGAGAGGCCGGGGAGAGTCTGGAAGGGATCACCACAGCCTGGTCTGCTCTCCCCACACCTCGGCGCCGCCCGGACTGTAGACTAAACAGCGTTCTGGTTTCAGAAGACTGCAGGGCCCACGGCTGCAAGTGTGGACCAGTTTAGTGCCCATCGAATGGGCTGCGTCAGGAGAGGGCCCTGGGGGAGGGCGTCGTGGGAAGCTGTGCCCCTGGCCAGGAGTTCAGACCTGAGCGCTAACAGAGAGTGACTCCGCGCTTTGCATTGCAGTACACAGTGTGTAGTCAGCCGAGCACCGTGAGCGTTCCGGTTGCAATGGAGACAGATGGGCCTTTATTTGAAGATGTGCAGATGCTGAGAAAGACAGTGAACGAAGAGGCTCGCCAGGTAAAAGTGCGCAGGGCTCAGCTGGGTGCACTTGTTACAGATTTGCTTAAGAAATGTGTCATTTCAGTGGGCACTGTGCTATACATCAGTGCCTTCTGTGTAAGCCAAAGTTCAAAACTAAATTTTGGTAATCTTATAGGAAACATTTTATCTATACATCTTCGTGATCAAATTAGTACAAACAATTTTTAAGGGTAAAGTATGTGTGTGAGATTTGTTTATCTTAACAGTAATATCCCACTCAACAATAATATCCCAACTCTTAACTATCCTTTAAATGTTAACTTAATCAAAAAATCAAAAGCTTCGCAGTAATGTCTTACTGCTCTCTTTCCCCTGTACATCCCTCTGACTTCTGCTCTGGTGCAGAGGCGTCCCCTCTTAGTCTCCAAAGCAGTAAGCACCAGCCCCCTGGGCCCAGGACACTAGGATGGAGCCCTTGTTTTCACCTCGACAGCAGAACTTGGCTGCCTTGCAGGGCCTGTCATAGGGCCAGGGCTCTGGGGGGACTCCCGTGGGCAGGGGGCTCTGTCAGGACCCCCTCACGTAACACCCATGCTGGAGTGGGTTTGTGTCCACTGTGGTGGAAATACAAACTTAGATCACCACTGATCCAAAGACAGCCTCTTAGTACTGAAGTGGGGATTTATACAATTGAGGCTTTAAAGAGGGTCACGTACTAAGTCCTGCCTGTGTATGAGGAGCCTTTCGATTGCTGTGTTTCTCTGCACTTGCCTCCCTGTTATCAATTCATGCAAACTAACTGGATTTGGGGACATTGGCCTCTCTGACTTTGAAACTTTACTCCCCTTCGGCCAGTGTAAGACTTCCTGAGGACATCCAGCACTAAAATTCTAAAATGTAAGAAGTTAGAGTAGCTGAAATTATGCTGTTTACTGGGTGCAGACAGTTTATAAATGCTACTGTCATTCGGAGCTCAAAGAGAAGGTTTTTTTTTTTTTTAATCTATTTGCTTTTAATTCAAGTAAATTATATTCCCCACCTGATCAGACAGGATCAGGCATTACCAAGAGCACAGGATCTAGACCGTCTAGACGGCTCTGTCCAGCACGGCAGCCACAAGTCACACGTGGCTGCTGAGCACTTGACATGTGGCCGTCGGCACTGAGCTGTGCTGTCACTCTAAAACACAGGACTTCCCAGGCTTAATAGGAAGAAAAGAACATCAAAACGTCTCATTGGTAATTTTTTATTATTGATTATATGTTGAAATAATATTTTGGGTATACTGGGTTAAGTAAAAAATATTAAAAATTTCACCTGTTGCTTTTTGCTTTTTTAATGTGGCTACTAGAAAATTTGGGATTACATTCGTGGCGGGCGTTTTTTGATTGGACAGCACTGGTCTAGACTCATTGTTCATAGCACTGCTGAGGGAAAGCACCTGTGCTGACCACGTTCCTGCCTCCTCTTGCCCAGCTAGTTCCTAGCTGTAGGTTAAGACAAAAAGCAGGAGAATGCATGCTTCTATCAGCTCATCAAAACTTGAAAATACAATGGGAAAACTCAGTATACTCCTAGCAAACATCACTAACTCATTTTTTACTTAATCCAGTTGGATTCCATAATTTCCTCACAATTAATATTCTTAGCAATGAATAAATTTAATAAAAAAATGCAAATCCTTATGTTTGTCTCTAAAAATCTACTTTTTAATTTTTTTTTGACTTGGAAAGGAATTTGAGGTCACCTTTTGATGACCATTTTGATTCTACGGCTTCAAGTGTGCTAAAGACATGAGAGCGAGCCTCGTCACCTGCGGACAGTCAGAGGAGACCAGACTCAGTGGCCTTCCTCCCAGTGAACCTGCCTGGGAATTTGTAACCACATGTTAGTTTTTAAGGCTCTTAGGCCATACAAAGTCGAAAAGGAAATTGGTGCTTTACAAGCCAATTCTTATACATTAAATATTTTAGGGTTAGAGGATTTTTCTTTTTGGTACATCCTTTGACTTGATAATTAAAGCTAGGAAAAGAATAAACTCTGCCCAAAATGTGATGAACATATTACATAATTATGTAGTTTATGGACGTATTTATGATTTAGGGCCATTCTGTAGGAGATCAAAAACTTGATCAAGAATGCAAACACCAAAATAGCATTCTCATCTTGAGTAAAACTGGCTTTGAAAGTCGGCTCTTGTGTATATGTGGTAGCCAGTGCCAAGAAAACCTCCCAATTGGTTCATCTCTCCACTGGCCCATGGAAAAGGGCGTGTCTCCTTCCCAGGAGGACTACCTACACATGTAATGGGAAGGAGTCAATCTCCAGTCACCTACTGGTTTATTCTAAATAACAGATTTGTAGACAGGACATTTCCTGGAAAGCTTTCAGCGTGTTTGCTTGCAAGTTTGTTTTCATGACTCTTGAAATTAGGTTATATAACTGAGTGTTCTGTGTAATTGACATTCTTACAAAAATTATTCCCCCACTCTTGCCTTTAGATTTCTCCAGTCACATTCCTGGGTCAGAAGACTCAGTGCCGTTAAGATATCAGTTCTCCCCAGATTAACCCAGTCTCGATCAGAATCCCAGCAGGCTTTTATTTTTTTAATGACAAGCTGATTTCTAAAATTCATATGGAAATACAAAGGACCTAGAATAGCCAAAACAACTCCAAAAATAAAATAAAATTAGAAGACTAACACTACCCAATTTCAAGACTTATTGTAGACTTCAGTGGATCAATTGAATTTCTCCCCCTCAAATCTCAACCTGTCTCGATGAAGATATTTATAATGCAGTCTCTTAGGTATAATATTTAATATGATAGACTCTTAATTTGAACATGTTTGGAGTCACATTCCTGAAATTCTCAAAAACACTGTTGTTAATACAAAGAGAAGATACCGAGATGCAGGAAAAATTTATGTGCATGGTTTGGGGACCAAAATGACATAAAAAGTTATAGCTAAAAATTAAACTTTGAATATTTTCAATGCCCTTTTAATTTTATTTTCAGCTAATTTTATTTTTCCAAAATAATTCCACATTTCTTTAAAATAATTTGAATGTTGGCTCAGGACAGGACGCATGTGAGAGGTAAATGGTAGTATTGCAGAAGCAGAGGGGAGGGAAGACACTAATGCTAGTGGAACACGGTTGGAATTTTCTGGAGAAAGTCAACTCTATATTTACCTGTCAGAACCATAATTTGGATTTCTTTTGAGAAACTTGTATAACCCCATATAGAACATCCAAAGAAAACTAGTATATTTCATGTGAATGACATTTATATCAGAGACGTTTAAAATGTTTACAATTCTCATTTTTAACAGTCGGTCGGGAGAAAAGCAGTGTCAACCTTGCAAATAAGGAAGGTATAGAAAGACGAAAGGTGGGAAGTGAAGGTATTCATTACTCAATATGTAGAGTATATTTAAGGCTTTTATATTTAGGAAAAGAATCGACAAGTGAGTGTGTGGTGTGTGTACATGAAGTATTTTCCCATTTTTCCCTGTCATCCCAGCTTGTGATGGTGAAGACAAAGAAATCTGGTCCCTTAAGAAAATTTGATTAGTTCTGTCCTGAATTAAGTAGTAAAAACATGCACAATTTTGTATGAGCAACCCCTGGTGTTCATTTACCACCTATTGCATAAATTTAGCCTTTTAGATCTGCCGTCGTGCTGCAAAACAGAGGCCGTTTCTCTCTGGCTTGCGTCCCCTCAGCAGAGAGTCTCAGGTCCCCGCATTCCATCTGTCTCGTCCATTCCGCCCGTGGCCGGCATATTCACTGGCACGTCCCCTCCACTAAGTGTTACTCATTTAGGGTGACCATCTGCATGATGTCTCATCCTTTCCTGCCTCCTGTTTTTCTGATTTTTCTCCCTTGTAGTTTGTGAGATTATTCTCTGCTTTACCCCCCAGTTTAAAATGCCTACACAGAAAGGCCTAGATGAGTCCATCACACCTTCTGTCCTGTCAGAAGCTCTGGGGCCATGTTTGTCTTCCCAATTTGCATTTATTGGTTCCAGCTCCAAGGTTTTTACTGTTGCCTTTTTCTATTAAAACGTTTCTTTTTGGAATGCCTGTTTCAGCAGGGATTAAATATTTCAAGTATATAAAAGTCTTGGTTCTGTTTTGCTTCGCTTTGCTTTATTTTACAGCTCAGCATGGAATTGACATAAAATTCAGGGTAGAGTTTCCCTCTGAAATTCTTGTGGGTTGAAGGCAAACACACTCCACAATCAAAAGCCCTCCTGCGGGACTGTGACTGACGGTCCCGGGGACTTGTGGCCTCACAGCCTCCCCATGAGGGTGATTCTCCTGCAGCCATCATACACGTGTTTCCAGGGGGGAAATCAAAATTCCTGCCTTTACCATGAATGAATATTAATATTCAAATAACATTTCTAGATATAATCCTAAGTGATGTCACACAATATTTTCTAAACCTTGATATTTTTGCTGTTTTTATAGACAAATTTGCAAAGAACCCTAAGAAATATTTAGCTCTGCAAAAATGTGAACTTTTCATGTATGAATTCTACAGATTCTTGAACTTTTCATTAAAGCAAGAAAAGTGTACTTTACGTACTATACTGAAGTTAGATAACTGGGAACTGTGAGAACTTGTCACCGTTATGTTCTTTTTGTTAAATGATTGACTTAAAACACATCTTTTCTGGTAGATGTTCATTCACCACCACAGAAGTCACTTATTCTCTTTAAATGCCATCTTCTTTTTGATGGAGACACTGAACAGAAAGGAAGACTTGGTTCTGGTTCAAGTTTCTAAATCAGAAGTCTTCTGATATAGACAGTGTGTTCAGATGATTTACAGGGCTCGTCGTTTTGTTTCAAAAATACTGGTATTAATGCAATGCCCTACTTCAAAATGGAATAATTTATTTAACTATTATTCATGGAAATGGACGCTTTTGGTGTGTAAACTCCCCATATGAGGCCCCCTTTCTTGGCAAACACAATTCTCTAAATCTCCGTGCAAAAAAGAGATTCATTTAATTGGGATTTTTTATTTTAAGTAAAACCAAAATTTCCTAAACTTTAGGAAGAAAATGGGATGAAGAAGGGAGTCTTTTATTTCTTACCCTTAATATTAGGAAATTTTATGTAAATAATTAAGTACCATTTTTCTAAGTCCTAAAGGGGATTTTTCCCCTACATGACCCATTTAATACCTCCTACTTTATCTTTTTTCAAATTTGATAGAAGTTTTAGACCTTTTATTGACTTAAAATCCAGTTTAAATATATTTGTCACTCATTCTTTTTATTTACCTCCAAAGGAAATTTCGACTTTCTGAACTGCTTCTCTAATGAGCATAGCCATAAGATGGCTTTGGTAACATTTTATGAAATAGGAGGGTTTTACTATTTATGGGATTTACTAAAACTGGTGAATTTGCAAAATAGATGTACTGAATACTCGGTACAAAACTACACATTTTAGAAGACCAAAATGCCAATATTATGCACACAGTCCTTCACATGAGTCATTAGATATTTTTAGTAGACAAGTCATTTTTGGTTAATTACCATGAAAAGAAATATCATGCCTCTTTGTGCCTTAGAATTCTTGGGGAAGCCTTAGAACGTGTGTGCTGCACATCTGACTCTCAACTGTGCTTTGACTTACAATGCAGAAGTGAGCTCACTCTTCAGATAGCTTAGTTTGTAGCCAACGCCACTGCATTTTTAATTCCAGGCCCAGAAAGATCTGAAGAAGGACCGGCCCCTCGTGCGTCGCAAGTCTGAGCTGCCTCAGGACCTCCACACCAAGAGCGCCTTGGAGGCTCACTGCCGAGCCGATGAGCTGGTCTCCCAGGACGGGCGCTAGCCCCTGAGGACCGCGGCAGGCTGGGGATGCCACTTCTTTTCTGGATTCTGTAGAAAATACATACTTTTTGTGCCATACAAATCAGTTACACTCAAAGTCAGAGCTTTCTTCGACCCCGTTCTGTAGGCAATAACGTACTGCCGCCTCAGCTCGAGAGTAGGAGTTCAAACAATGGTGACTTCTCAGATCCGTGTGCAGAGCCGGGGCCGCTGACGGTGTCCCCACCACGTCGTTGTGACCCCGGCACAGCCCCAGATAAGACTCTTGCCCAGAATCAGAGCTAAGGAAAGCACCCTGGTCATCCTCTTCACGTTCTACCCAAATGGAATTCGTGATCATTCAGAATAGGTGGTTCTATGATACTATCAATGTTTTTCAAATCAAAGGAACACTTTGAAAAAGTATTACATATTTTTTAAGACTTTACAGCCTTCGAAATTGTTTCCATGTGATTGTTACGCCAGCAGTTTTTGGGTTTTTTGGGGGTTTTTTTTAGTCTCACTGAAATGGTTCTTTGCTTTCTTGTTCTAACACAGCTGACTGGGAAAAGTGACGTGGAGTCCTCAGCCGCTGGCTCTCCCGAGGTGTTCCTTTACTTTGAGGAGCGACATGTGCCCCACGTCCCACTTCTCTTGTGTTCCTAAAGCCATATTTCCAAGTCTGTGGTCCAGCGCCAGGACTCCAGGAATAAGCTCACAGGAGAAATTTATTTTAAAAAGAGGTTTCTCTGTCTATCTTGAGTGGAATTGGAATTTTAAAATGATGCGTTCAGTTTTTTGTTTGCAGAATGTTTTTTCTCTACTCATTGTTGCCCTTTAACAAGGCTCTTGAATTAATAAAATTGTAATCTCTAAGAAGTCCACCTTTTGTAGAAAGTGAGAATGAGGTCATTTTGATTAGGTCAGTTCTTGGCTAATGCAGGCTGCAGCTGCCTTTGGGCAGAACGTGACAGAAATAACACTGTATGTGCTGGGCACAGCCGTGACGCGCTCTGCTTGCTGTCACGTGGTGCTCAGGGCTCAGAGGGAGCAGCAGTGAGGAGGCTCCACATGGATCTTTCTGGTGGTAAACCGCACATGTAAACACCTCCTGAGGGAAATGCAGTGTCTGAGTTTCATCGGTCTTCAAATGCTGCTATATATCTCACAGACTCCTTGCATGTGGTGAACTTTTTGTTTTCGATGGAATAGCACGAGGAGAAAAAAACCTTTAAACTTAGTGCTTTGTCTATTCTTTATTTCTCTCAGGGTGGCCAGTATTTTGACTTATTTATCCTGCTTGAAAGCTATTGAGACGTGTACTGCTATTCTAAACAAGTGGTTCTAGTTTCTTTTGTCTCTGGCATAAGATTATATAACTTAATGTTAAATGTCTCAATGCATAAAAGATAAAATGTGGCTTCTTTTAGGATCTGTTTTTTAATTGAGGTCTTGGGTGTCCATGAAAACGTGAAGAGCAGCAGACCTCGTTCCCTGTGTGGCTGTGGGGGCCTGTCCCCATTGCTTTCACTTAAACCCACTGACAATGTTTATTTCCTGTGTCAGAGGAAAATCTTTTGTGGGGAGGGGACTTCTTGTGTTAAGAGCAAGTACTGAATTCAAGGATTGCCCCAGCTGAAAGTGGAAAAGCCCACTTTGTGAGAAGAAACATTTCCTGAGAAACTTGACGAGTATCTATCCATTTTACCATTATGAAATTTATAATTTAAAAAAGTTTAGATGCCTTCTTCTTTTGAGGGAAAAAGGGTGCTTTTTATTGTATAAAGCAGCGTCTTATGTATTTTGATATACCATTGTTTGAACTTCCGTCTTTAGCTGATAGATTCTCAAATATCCTTGATTTTGGACGTTCGGTATGTTTGTGACAGAGGCGTCTGGGAAGACTCTCTTTTGCCCTAGAGAAAAAGCAAAATATCAATGTTTGGGTGATTGTGTACAGCTCAACGTACAAGAACATCTTTTTGTCTAGGTTTTATTTCTGCTCTTTATTGAAGACAAACATTCACCAAAAAGGGACAAAAAAAAGTTTTGAGAGAAACTAATTTTCTTTGACAAGAGTATTATTTAATATTTTGGCCTATTAAAGTTTTCCTAGTTAGTACTCAGATTCCCTGTGCTAATTGTTCAACTTATATATTATTATATAGATGCACTGTTTATTCTGTACCAAACTGATTTCAGAAGTACTACACTGAAAATAAACTGGTGACTGTTTTTCTTCATAAAGTTCTGCGTTTGGCATCTTCACTCTTTCCAAAATGTATCCGTACATCAGAAATGTCACTATTCTGAGTGTCTTTTTAGTGTGGCTTTAGTATGGCTTCCTTTTAATATTGTACATACATTGTATCTTTGTTTTATGGTAATAAGTAATAAAAATGTAGACTTCATATTTTGTACAAAATGTCCTATGTACAGAATAAAAAAGTTCATAGAAACAGCAAAAATAGGTAAGTGGCACAATTATTTTTCTTTAGAAAATATCTGTAACTTTATGCTTTAGTGAAATGTTAAGTACCTACATATTTTTTAACATTTTGTAATTCAAAACTTTTTTGTTTTGACATTATGAAGAGAAACTTCATACACTTGCCATTTAATATGCTCTTTTATCTAATTTTAAAAAACTCTAAAAATGGTGTATTATATGGACTAAATAAAGAACATGTGAATTTTATTGCTCATCATGACACTAAATTTAGCCCTGGTGTTGTTGGGCAAGCTGGTTCTGATCGTCATCAAGTTACTGCGAGGGTCAGGGCAGCCTCGCCAGGGACACGGGCTGGAAGACGGGGGACGGGAGCCCCTTGTTCAGCACAGGTGGGGCCGGCTGTGCTGCTGACCTCCAGCCAAGTCTTTTCTGAGTTTTCTATAAGCTCATTTTTTGCTTCTCTGATGGAAAAAGTAGAGGCAGCTTTTTATCGACCACCTCTCGATTTTTGAGTAGGCAAATGTGAACCAAAATACAATTTATAGAAATGGAATGCTCTGAGCCCTAATTATGATGTTTAAGATGATTCTAAAGGAGAATGAAAGTCTTGAAAATAGAGTAGAATTACAGAAAATATGAATTTGGGGTCTTAGTCGATCCACCGCCTTCTTAACGGGGAGCTCATTGTCCTCACTGACGCTGTTACTAAAAAGTCAATGAAAGAAGAACTAGAATAAAGTGATTTCCTCGAGTCATTGCAGCAAGCCTCACATCTCCTTAGTTGTGCCTGATCACCATTCTGGCAGGTGGAGTGTGACCATTCCCCCTAGTTTCCTCACCCTCTCTGTCTCTGTGACTCCCTTCTCATGGACAGAAGAAGTCACTCTTGGAGCCAGAGTGCATTGAAGAGGCCAAGCCCCGGGTGGCTGGTGGCCTTGGGACCTCCCTGAGTGGGGACTTGGGAGGGTATTACCCCCCCCTTTCCACTTAGGAGCAGGAACGCTGGTCAGAAGACACTTTAAATCTGGTGCAGCTTCTAACGTTCCTGTTTCCTCAGACTAGATGTTCCTTGTCTGCCATCTTGAAATTGGGGAAGCTGTAACTTCCCGAATTGGGGAAGTTTAGTAACTTCCTACAGTGCAGGAATTCTTGAGAGAACTTTCTAAATAGAGGTGTGCTACAATTTAAGTCCAGCTTTATGCTGCTCTTATTTCAGGGTAGCAAGAGGCCTAAAAGCAAAACTGAACTGGCTTTGTGTCTCCTTCCGTGTAACTGGTAGGACGCCATCAACAGTCGTGATGACAATAACTGATTTGCCCCCCACCTTTGTGCCAGGGATTGTTGCAGGTGCCTCATTTGCCTGTGTTGTTACTTTATCCTCACAACCCACCAACGTGTTTGCCATTATTATTCTCATTGACAGATGAGGAAACTGAGGCACACAAAAGTTAAGTCCCTGGCTCAAGGTCACACAAGTACTGAGTAGAGCCAGGTTTCAACCCAAGTGGTGCGGCCCTGGAGTCCCAGCCCCTCACCATTACATTACACTGTAGAAACACCCAGAACATTTTAGGGGAAGGCCATGAACAGATGATGGGGGCCCCAGGACCACTGGAGAAACACCCCGGGACCTACAGGGTCGAGAGGTTGCCATGAGCACATGGGAGAGCTTCTGACCCTGGTCTTCATTTCCAGAAGTAGAAGAACCTCAGAAACCATCTAGTCCAGTGGCCTTCGCACAGACTTCAGAAGCTATTGTTTTTACGTAAATTTAAATTTTGTAATATTTCAACTACTTAAAAAACGTACCAAATTTCAACAGTTTAAAGACCACCAACTCATTAGCTTCTGTTCTCATTAACTTCATATTGTTCCTATATGAACTTACAAATTTGTCAAAAATTCAGCTCTTATCTGTTTAATGTGTGTGGTTTTACGTAAGATTTCATTTGGGGAAAAAAAATGGATTCCACTATCAAAAGTTTGAAATCCACTGAGATTAATGTAACTCTGTTTTAGAGGAGGAAGTGGTTCCTAGAGGAGAAGAGATGCGCCCAGACTAATTTGTAGCTAAGTGCGTCCCCCACTCTGGAGGGCTGTCTCTCTCTCTCTGCTTTTTACAAAAGCATGTAAATTGCACAGAACTCTGTGGGAGGGGGCAAAAAAACTCTAATTCATCTTTTTTCTATCCCCAGGTTTTCCTGATTATACCCAGTTCAGGGTAAAGTCAGCCTGGTTTACCCTTGTGGGGCCTTTAGAAATACAGAATTAAATAAGTATAAGCTGGAGCTGAACTAGGCTTTATGATTTGTCTATTTTTATAGGATGATGTATAACTGATTACCAGTCGATCGCAAGAGGTTTTGACCCATCTTTTTTCCCGCTTTTATTGAGATATAATTGACGTACAGCTCTGTATGAGTTTAAGGTATGCCACATAATGACTTAAATATTGCTAAATGATTACCACAATGAGTTAAGTGAACATCCATCTCCTCATTTAGTTACCAAAAATACCTCCTTCATTCCTGTAATAAAAGCAGCAAATACCAGACACTGTTGGTGAACACTCAGCACAGTTCTGTGGAAAAAGGGCAGCGGCGGAGGAGAGAGGTTCTTAACCCCAGGAGCCAGGTAGCTTCAGGCAACCCCCTGAATTACATATGGACATTTTTTCTGCAGGAAATAGCTTTTATCAAATGAGTTTGTCCCAGAAGCGTCTAATGCACTCTCTCTGTCTCTCTCACACACCCCAACAAGCTCACACGGGCACCATACAGAGTCAGAATATGGATTCAAGGGGCCATTGGGCAAGGGGCAAATTAGGGCAGATCCTGGCACTAAAATGTAACGTTGAGAAGTCAGTCAGGTTTCTCTCTCTCTCTCAGGTGTGGTAACATTAGAGTCTTCAACTCTGTCTCCAAAACGCATTGTAGAAATGTGAATTTAAGGGGATCTTCTAACCAGTGATTGCACAGATTAGTCCCTGCCAATCC